AATGAATGAATGGTGAATGAATGGTGCAGGCCTCAGACTGTTCCAAAAGCCAAAACAGCAGCCCCTAGTCATACTACAGTTGCCCACCACATCTGTAGGACTACAAGTTCATTTCTTCAGTGCTTCCAAAAGCTGACATTCAGATTATGAAAGATGCATGGCTACTATAGTCATGCCAAAACACTGAAGTCTTTGCATCGTGATGAAAAAAAGGAAGGGAAGGATAGCTGCATTTGCCTGAATCCAGCCTAGTCCTCACACTTCATTCGCCAAAATTCTTTTCTGTTTGAACAAGTTTGCCCTCAGGTTGGGCTGAGCTGGTACATCCAGACAGCCCTAAAACTATTGTGAACTGCTTTCAAATTAATTTTCATCCAGCTGAGTAGGAATTGCGCCTCAGGTTCTTCCTGTCATTCATTGTCTAACCTTTAAAAAAACAAACTTTGCCAATCTCCGTGCTTATCCTTCACAAAAAATTCATTCTTATAATCTGAGTGCTAATGTACCAACAGGTACTAGGTGGTGAAAATGGTTGAGACTGAGGTAGTATCATTAATATTACATGGAATTAGAAACAGCGTAAGCTTGAGGTTTGTCCAGATTTCCTGCCTTTTCAGGCAAATGTGCCAGAGTTCATGTCTGTACACATGCCTAAAGCTGGCTATTACTATGACAGGAAAAGTGAATGAGCATATAATTGGAGATAAAAATATCACAGCTTAATATGCATGTAAATGGGTGTGCACACACAGGTTTAAAAAATAAGTGCTGAAATCTGAGTGTTTTATGGATCAAAACCATAGGCCAAGTTCAATAAAAGCATTTTAAGGAAACAGTCTGAGTGTTTTAAAAGTATCAAGTTAGCACACAAGAATATTTTTCAGTTAAGATGTTCCCTAGGAAGCATATATATTTGCTTTGGGCTTCAGATCAGAAGTAATGAGAGATGGAGTCACAGTGGGTTCTCCCATTAACAGTGAGCTCTCCCATTATCAACAGCTACTAAGGCCTAGAAGTAAAAAAGAAAGGTGATATTCTCAGTCACATAAAATGTATATATCAAAATGTATATATCAAAATCAAACAACTAAATGGCTATACATTGACACCATTCAGTCATGGGGGAAGTAAACAGATAGAAAAATCACTACAAAAGGTATAAAAAGGAAGTGTATGTCTTTAACTAGAATGCATGAGGCTTCTTTTTATGCATATATAATTACTGACAGCAGCTAACACACTCTGCTCCTTGGTCATTTGGTAGGCTGATAGTCCTCTCCTACAGAGTATAGGAGATGACTGTCCAGGGAGTGTCGTCAACAGGTCTTTATTGTTCTACAGAAGAAATGAGAAATGGAATCATAGCAGGCTCTCCAACTGAAGTATGTAATAAAAGCATAGAAATAAATAAGAAAGGTGATATAGTCAGTAACACAAACAACTACATGGCCATACACTAGTCACCATTTGGTTCAGTTGCTGTTCTCTTTGGACTTTATTAATGTCATCTTGTATAGTAGGAGTGACTGTTGCTCACAGTTGTTTTTGTTAGCAGTTTTAGACAATTTATAATTCAGGAGAGAACAGGATAACTTTTTAAAAAAAGGGGGGGGAGGGAAAATGAGTAGATGATGTTCATAAAAATATTGATTGTGTCAGCTGTCTTTGGTTTCCCAGTAACCAGCATTTTCTCTATCTCCAGGTACCTTCTGCAGTTCATCTTGTAAAGCATAGCATAGGAATTAAAAGTCTCTTCTGTTTCTGTCCTGAAACAGTCAAACCTTAACTTGTGGATGGTCCAGACACTTGGATGATTCTATCAGGGCAAAATGCCTGCTCAGTGAAGTGAGCTGTTCATGTCACTAGCATGCTTTATTAACTTAACTGGCCTCCCATCTGTTTTTGGGTGCAATTCATAGTTTGGTTTCTGAAGTCTACTATGAAACATTAAAGCATGGTTTATGATTTGGCCTTCAGTCATTCCGTGCATCATCAAAGAACAGCACATGTTTCCCTATGGGCACTTTTTGCTGATAGAAGCACCACTATGATGACCTTTAGAATGAAATGCGGCTTGTCTTTTGATGAAGCATATGCTTGATTTAAGGTAGTCAGTGGATTATTCATGTTTGGTTGAACCAATGGAAAACAGGCTGTTTTGAATTGTCTTTTGCAGATGGTTTAGCACATCATCACTGTGGTGATCAGGACAAGAATAATTAAATAAACACACTGGGACTTTCCCAACAACTCTCTCTCTCTCTCTCTCTCTCTCTCTCTCTATATATATATATATACACACACACGAGGGGTATTTTTTAAGTAAGGTCCGTTTTGTTGTAGACACTAGTAGTTCACGCGCATACCGCAACGAGTGCGTGCGTCGTGTACCGGCATGCCTCGGGAACAACTGTGCTCAGTTTCCGCTCTGTAGCTAACCTGTACGGTTCTGTTCTGTGCTTTAAAAATGTTTAAGACTATCAACTCACCCGCCGCATGTGAGGTTCGCTCAGTGATACGGTTTTTGTCAGAAAGGAACCTGCCTGCTGCAGAAATTCATCGACAGGTTTGTGAAGTGTACGGTGATACTGTTATGAGTGAAAGCAAAGTGCGTAAGTGGGTACGACAATTCAAAGATGGCCGTGACAACGTCCATGATGAGGACCGCTCCGGTCGCCCTTCTTTGATTACAGACGATTTGGTGGATTTTGGTGGCGGCAAGTTTTTATGAAGATGGTATTTTAAAATTGGTTCAGAGGTATGATAAGTGTTTGAACAAACTTGGCAACCATGTCGAAAAATAGAGTGAAGTATGTACTTTCTGAAAATAAGTTTACTTTTTTGAAATAAACTTTCGTTGTGTACTTATGTTCAAACGGACCTTACTTAAAAAATACCCCTCATGTGTGTGTGTGTGTATACGCACACACACAGAGAGAGAGAGAGAGAGAGAGAGAGAGACAGAGAGCGAGCCCTAATAGCTCTTTCCTCACTTTAATTAAATTAATAATAACTTCTGCAAATTCTTTTAGTTATTCACCTATGAGACAAAAATGCATCTAACTGTTCTACACAGAAACGTGCTGGCCAATTTTATCCAGGTATTTCTACAAAAACTAATGGGAAACAAACTGGTTTAGTGTATATTTAGAAGGGAGAAAATCACAGGAATGCGGAATCCTTAGAATCATTTCCAGAAATGACAAACATGTATAAATATGTGAGAGGAAGCCACAGGGAGGAGGGAGCAAGCTTGTTTTCTGCTTCCCTGGAGACTAGGACGCGGAACAATGGCTTCAAACTACAAGAGAGGAGATTCCATCTGAACATGAGGAAGAACTTCCTGACTGTGAGAGCCATTCAGCAGTGGAACTCTCTGCCCCGGAGTGTGGTGGAGGCTCCTTCTTTGGAGGCTTTTAAGCAGAGGCTGGATGGCCATCTGTCAGGGGTGATTTGAATGCAATATTCCTGCTTCTTGGCAGGGGGTTGGACTGGATGGCCCATGAGGTCTCTTCCAACTCTTTGATTCTATGATTCTAAGGCATGCTAATCATTTTCTAAACTCATTAACAAGACTGAATAACCTTATTTATATGTAATAATGTTAGGACTTCTGAAAACCTTACTAGCTGCACCAGACAACAGATTTACAAAATAATTTTTAAATTGCAATTTTACTTTTTATCTAAATTTTATAAATTGTTGTTGCAATATTAGTAGATCTACCTTTCAAGTTTACTGTATTTATACAGTCTACTTATCCTGAATGCTATATCTATTTATCCTGAATACAATTTATATGGCTATTCATTTAAAAAACTTATTTTTATTTGTTTGTTTTTAAATGCCAACAGTGGAATGGATAATTAGATCACTTGAAGACACAAAATAGCTTCCAACTGCAGAAAAGTATTTTCAGAATGAGTTCTGGGACTGTTTTTTTCAGTAGGTTTGTAATGAATCCCAGATTATTCTAAGATAGTTCTTCATCCACAGCTGAAGGCTTACTGTAAATCAAAGTGAAGGACACACTGCAGCATCATTGATAATAACAACATGAATAGAAACTTTGTGTGTAATGTGTGAAGCGCATGAAGTTATTCCTTTTGTCAAATTGCCTCTGTTACTTTTTAAGAGCAGAATGAATTCATTCTATAACATGCCCAAACAATTGCAATGGAACAATAAAATTCCATTTATCCATAACCGTATCCAATATCACTGTGAGAATGCAATTTGTGAAAATACAGAGAGAAAGTCATTGTGAGAATGCACCTGGTAAGAATGCATCAAAGGGTTCTGAAATGAAATTGGTGTTGAGATTGGTTCCACAGAGTAGCAATTCCCTTTATCTCCCCCGTCAGGTATAGAGGTCACAGAATCCTGATGTTTGCAAAAGTATAAAAACAATGGGGGAAAAGCGTAAGAGGGTGGAGATGAAACAGTTTCATGAGGCCTGAGATTTCTTACTAATCACAAAAGGAATGCTGCCTGTTTGGGCAGGAAGAGGGCAGCCAAAAACCAAGAGTTGGCAGAGAATTGAACAAGATACTTTGGATTGTGGATTAGATTGTAGATGGATGATTAAAATGCCACCCAGTAACATGCCATTCCTGCAATATTTTGTTGCAGATCCTGTTGTTCGTATGTTAACAATCAAAATGGCTTGCTTACCCATAGTACTAATGGCTAATAAAATAAAAGAAATTGTCATTTAAAAAATGCACAAATCTTCTGTATCTCAGCCATCAACCAAATATTTCTATATTATTTTCATCTCCAGGAACTGTTAGCATAGAAATAACTGTAAAAGTAGTTCACCCAAGAGAAAGCCTCTACCCAGCAATGCTAAAAAAGTGTTTATAAAACAGGATTTTAAAATATAAAATAAATGCAATGAGCCTCATATATTTCAGAAACATTTTGTGTAGAGCTATGGAAAGATTGTACAACTCAAGCTATCAGGAATTGCAACAACAAACGAGGTTAAACGATATTACCTGAGCCATCTGCCTTTCCAGCTTTGACCGGGGAATATCATCGAAATAGCTGTCATTTCTTCTTCTCCTTGCATCCCCCTGCATGATAATGTGTGGTACGTCGAGTGAGCCTCCAGTAGTGTAAGTGCTTTGGCTGAGTGAGGGAGACAACTGAGGAGGAGTATGGTTGCCACTGGGTTCCTGCAAACAAAGCAGCAAACAAGCAAACATAATTAATAGGGATTCCTGCACTCAGTCCAAAAGGGCAAGTACTGCAAGTGTAATTTCTAGCCCTGCATCTCTGCTAGTGATGAAATTTCCCAAGTGTATATAAAAATCTAAAAGTCACAAACTGTGAGATATGTGCACTGCACACCAATCTCATGAGGGAATTACCTCACTTGGGAGTTAGAATTGCAAGTAATTCTTATGCTTTGAGCTTGTTGGAGGCTAGCATTCAAGAAATCAGTTATTGTGTGTGTGTGTCAACTGTAAAATAAGATGCATGAAGCTGATTGGTCGAGATACACCTGGGAATTTTGGATCCTGTTACATTTTTGTTCAGGTTGAGCTATGAAGGTGTACAGAGAGAAGCAGAGAGAAGCAGAGAGAGATAGACTGATTTGCTTCTTGGCTCCTGAAAGAAAGTCTCTCATATGGACACAGAAAAGATCATTTTAAATCTCTCATAAAAGGACATTATGTGAGTTGGTGCAACTGATCACATTGTACATATGTTGTTCTAAACTAAGAAGAGTAAACTACTTGTTCTTTATTTTGCATATGTGTGGAATATTCTTTCTCTGCCAAGGCAGCGCGTGGGCTGATCAAACGTGAACTACATGGTTTATTTTACATTAAACCACAGAGTTGACATCAATAATGCAACATACAAATTGACATTAACTCCATGTTATAAGACACAATTGAATTTCCACATTATTATCATTGACTTGCCTTCCAGAGCTGTAGGAAAGAGGATGTAAAGGACTTCTTTAAATTGCTGAAAAACTGCTTGCAACACAGCTGAAGTTGTATCCGACTCAACTGCAGTGTCTTCCAGTTTGTTTCCAAGCATAATTCAAGATGTTGGCTTGGACTTACAAAGTCAGAGAGGCAGCTTGGAGCCAGACTATCTGAAAGTCTGCCATCTCCAATATGAGCCTATTTGAGATCTTCAGCAGAAGTCCTGATGTGTAAGAGATTAAACTAGCAAATACAGAAGAGAAGGCTTTCTCTGTAGCCTTCAGTTACAGAAATCTCTCATAACACAGGCAGGCAGGCAGGCTCTATGTTTTGATTTTTGAAGCTGGTGTTAACAGTATTTCATATCAGTTTTTAAAGATATATCTGTTTTATTTTACATTTGGGAGCTTGGTGGGCTTAAAAAGCAATTAAAATGCTTCCAAAAAAGTCAGATCTTTCTCAAGTACTCTTCCATTCTCACGTTGCTTCTGCAGATTTTTTTCACTGAAGTAGCAGCAGATAACACCTCCGTTTGAATAATTCTCTTGGCTTTTCGTAGGAATTCAGCCTACCACAACTTTATGTTTCACATTTATATTTTAGCATTCTTGCCGAGTGCCAGGAAACAACAGCCTTAAAAAACTGAGCTGAATTCAAGCAAATCTCCAAAGGCAAAATACTGTGAGTTCAGTGACACTTTCAGTAACAGTGTCTTCCAAGGAGCTATAATCTGTTCCGTTCCCCAGAAGCCTTTATGTGTGATATGCCAAACATACGAATGAGAATGCCCACGTAATTTTAAAACAGTAAGAAAATGGGTGGAGGGGGGAGCTGCTTATGTCTAAGACAAAGAAGCTATAATATCCTTCTTCTTCACTATTTTATGGACGCTAGTAATGAAAATAAAATATGCATTTCCCCACTTTACCATAAAAGGACATTTCATTTGAAAGAACTGACTATAAGTAATTTGAAGAATGTTCTCCTGCATCGTTCCTGAGAAATAGGTCCCAATGCACGTTAGGCTTTAATTGACGTATGTCTAATGCTCCTGCCACACAACTGTATAACATCCACATTGATTTGGATTATATGGCAGTGTGGATTCCGCTAACCCTATTCAAAGCAGATATTGTGGATTATCTGCCTAGATATTCTGGATTATATGGTTGTGTGGAACGGCCCTAAGATTGTAGCCTGATGATACAATCATAAACCCACTTACCTGGAAGTAAATAATTTTGAATGTATTTGGACTTCTGGAGATGCATGAGAGGGATTGAACTGTAAGTGAAGAGCTGTATACTAAAAGGATGATCACCTTTTAGAATGGGTTTTTATGGTTGGTGATATCTCTGGGTTACATGCTCATGGAACTTCCAGACAGGCACCAAAATGTGGGAACTGTTGCGTTTTTACCTGAGGTGCCCAAACAATGCCTAAGGTAAAAGCGAATGAATCTGGAACAAAGCAGGGTTTCCCTGCACTGTTCTGAATTAATTAGACACCTGGTAATACCCAGATCTTTGGTAAAATCTGGATCTTATCAGATGTGAGCCCAGTGCGGACTGAGCCCAGGGACCACGTCATGCAATCCCCATGCCATCTTGATTTTTCAGGCCCTAAAACGTACCCAAAAGTGTCTGCCAGGCACTGGGCCTGCTTGCAAAGTTCTCCTGGCATGCCAAAATAGAAAAGGGATGGAGGGGGGGGGGATGAGGGATATTCCTCATCCCCCCCCCCCCATCTCCTGAGGCACAATTTTGGTACCCCAGAAGAACTTTGCAAGCAGGCCCTGCACCTAGGAGCCGAATTTAGGTAAGTTTTAGGCCCTAATTTTGGAGTTTGGGGGTGGCTGACTGCTATCCTGATGGCAAGTATGCAGGAGGGAAAATCCGGGTTTCAGGGGGGGGACTTCAATGGGAGAGAAAGCCGGTCATTTTCACCCATTTTCACCCACATTTAACTGCTATCTGGAAGCAGTTTGCAATACGATGAAAAAGGTCACATACCTACAAAAACATGAAATTTAGAAGCCCTAACAAATTTGCTACAGTTGATTGTGTTGTGCTTACAAAACAATTTCTGTAGCTACATCTCCTGAAGTTACCCCTCCTTAAAATCAAACAAACATGACTTTATAAGCTGAGCAAACTCCCCACCAATGCATCCATTTCCATGTTCTCAAAGAATGGGGAAATGATCTGGAACATATTTTTCAGCTTCTAAGTGCACCCCAGCAACCATCAGCAGAAAACTCTGGACCTCTGTGGGCAATCCTGCAGACGATGATATAGTGCTTTTTGCTACAGAAAAATAGCTGGACATGCCTCCTCCCATTGCTCTCTGACAGCATATGCCCATACTGGGGACCTGCTTACATGGTGGTTAGAGGATTTGGTGTGTTGTATATTTGAATGAATTTCAACTTAGGACTTTGTAATGCAGCAATGGGATGTCATTCCAACTGTACTAAGTATTAGCCTTAGGAAAAGAAGCAAAGGAAAAATCTACAGTATGACCTCCATACTTGTGGGACTAGTACCCGCAGTTTCACCTACCTGCATCTGAAAAAATATGTCATCTCTAAGAATTTTCTAGGTCCTCCAAGCGATTCTATGATATGCTTCTTGTTTCCATGTTAAGTTCAAGGATATGGGGCTCATACTGTATATTTATTTGTATATGAAATTACTAAATAATCATTCTTTGTCCTTGCAGATTTTTACAGATCTCATGCAATACATGCTTGAAACTTCACAAGGCATCTCGGCACATTTGCTGAAGCCTACCCTGAGGGTTATAGATCGCGGTGGTTTCTGAGGAGGATCTTCGTGCAGCCTGTCTCCCAGTGACGCCAAAATACGTTTCCGATGGCCAAGCAAACTAATTTTTAATACCTGTAAAATAAAAACAAGTTGATGTACAAACAATTTGATAAAATTACAAGCAAGGACTGAACAACCTGTCACAAAAATGCACCTCTATAATTATTAATTGGAATATTATCCATCATTTTGAAGGCAGAGGAGTAGAATGGCATGGAATAATACTGAGAGGATTTGCTTTCAAGAAGGAAGGAGAGAATGCGAGAAGGAATCTCTTGTAGTGGAATCCAGAATGAGACAAAAGGCAAACAGGTAGAGATGCGCAGTGTCAGAAGGGCAGAGGAGAAAGGAGGAGAGAGCTGTCAACAGGGAAGACAGCAGAATGCAAAACAAACTCCACAAAGGAAAGGAAAGCATGGTGTAAAGTAGAAAAAGGCCATATGCTTCTTGTTTGTCATTTTGGAGGTGGGAAGCAAGAATCTTTCTATACAAAGTATAATCTTTTGATATGCAAACCATTTCCTGCTGTATCCCATAACATTATAGACTATAATTTAGAGGAAGGAAAGCAGTGTTACTTTCACCGAGTCAACATGAATTCATTACAGAGTGTGTTGTCAGGTGGGTATTTCACATGAATCAATTGCCTGAAAAAATAATGGTGCAGACACATGCTCTCGAAGTATTAGCAATATAGGTACAATACTTGATGAAAGACAAACTCTACCATACCACTACTCCCAGTTCCAGAAGAGAGTTGCCTCAATATAGGTGGATATGGAGGATGCATGGCAAACTGCAATATTTGTTACAATATTGTATATGCATGATTTAAACAATGTTTTAGTAATTTTAAATTATCAACAAATTGTTTTAATTGCTTTCATCATTTATTACTGTTATAGGCATTGAATGAATGCCTGTTGTGAAGCTGCCCCGAGTCCCCTTTCTGTGGGTGAGAAGGACGGGATACAAATATGTGAAATAAATGAATAAATATTTGATTTAGATTTATTCTCAAAGTTCATTTAGCATAAGTGTCATTAACAGTATCAGTACAGTAAACACTTTCAATTATGAAAGTACATAATTCCACAGATTAAACTTTTAACACGCACCTGAGCCCAGCAAAGCAACCAACTGTTATCACTTATAATGCTTATAAATAAAAATAATTTTGCACTAGGCTTCGAATAAATCATCAAGAGAAATCACTCCATTATTACAGAAGGAAAATGGTTCTCACAGGCTAAATTTCATAATGGATCAGGAAGGCAATTTCACTTGCAATTTTCATTGACAACTATGACGCAAACTAAATCTTTCTCTGCTTTCCTTTAAAAGTCGGTGACTTTAGAAAATGGTGTGGGTGCAATTTATCAATTTGTAGACAGATAAAGGTATAATTAGGCCAATTTATTGATCAAATTGCAAAAGCAAATTATAGTAGATAGTATTATAAACGGATATAATGCAATGACTGTATTATGTTGAAAGTGCCTTATAGTTGACAGATGTGTGGGGGGCGTGTGTGTGTCTTGAGCACATGGTAGCCTGACAAGTCAGTCTGGGAATGGCTGATACTGAAAGGCACACACTGTTCCAGATAAGACTGGCATTACATTTACACTGTATTTTTCCTGCCTGAATACCCCCACTCCAAAACTGTATACAAAATGAGGTTACAATTTAACATAGTGAAATGTGAAATCTTTGAATGTATTATGAAATGGCCTATTTTACCACTATTCATGATAATGCTATAATTCTTCTGAATATTCTTCACTCTACAGACCTTTCTCACTATTATAACATTACTGAAAACATAGAAGATACTATCAGAACCAATCTATAATGGCTGCAACTCACAATCGTAGCTATGAATATGTAACCTAATTATGCATTCTTAACAGATTTGCATTCATAATCCCTATATATTAAATAGCAATAGGAATTGCAAAAGTCTCCTTGCTCTGAAATATAGCCTAAGGAACCTGGCATGTTTCTTCCATCCCATCCTACTCCTTCTTATATTCATTTATATATCCCACCTTTCTCCTGATCAAGGTGACTGACAATATATTGAAGACAATACAAGTTAAAGACAAAAATCAGATCCTGCTCCGCTTCCAAGATCAGATGGTATATGTTGCGTTTAGGGTATATGTTGCGTTTAAGCCCTAAACGGTTCAGAACCTGCCTATTTTATGACTGCATCTTCCCCTACGAACCTGTGTGATCTTTAAGATCTTCTAGGAAGGCTCTCTTCTTGCTCCCACCCCCGTCACAAGCATGGTTGGTGTGGATGAGAGAGAGGGCCTTCTTGGTGGTGGCCCCTGACTCTGGAACTCTCTCCCTAAGGAGATTAGGCACCTTTCATAAAGATCTAAAAACAGGGATGTTCCACTGTGCTTTTGATCAGACAATTCCCCAGATAATTTTGGCCCCTCAGCTATGGCCCAAAATCTAATCCTTGCACTTTACTACTGTTCCCCACTCATAGACATAGTGCTCTACCTCATACTACCCTCTATTCCTAATTTTGTCATCTAGCTCTGCACTTTACCCATCAGCCCTGTCCTTACAACTGATTTTCACCAGCCTGCCTGCTTGAGTCCAGAAACTGTTCACTATATCAGGCTATTGGTTGTTTATTCAATAGTTCTTTTTTTACTGTGTTGTGATGTTGTTTGTTTTATATTGTTTATTATGTTGTTTTATGAACTTTATTGTGTTATATTTTAACTTTGTCTGACTGGGCTTGGTCCCCATGTAAGCCGCCCCAATTCCTTTTGGGGAAATGGAGGCAGGATACAAAAATAAAATAGTTATCTCTACGTATTTATTTATTTAGGCCCTCCAACAACTAACCTAACTTCCTCTAATTTCAATGGGTCGTGTCTATATGTTTTTCTGATAACAATTGGATAATTTCTTTCTCCTTACTTTTCTGAAAAAAACTCTGACCTATAAGAACAAACCAAATAAAGATTCACAGAAATAAATATGGGGCAAGATCTTAACATTTATTTAACAGGAAGTATGGGGGTTGTCCATTCTCCAAGCTCTTCTTCCTTAATGGTTCCCACTGAAATTTAAGCATAAACTTAGTAACCATGATTTTTAATGAGGCTACATTGATTTCTGACTATGCAGAAATTTTCCCTAGTTATATAACAAAATGTGGTTATGAACAGCTAACGATTCTTGGGACTGACATTCTTTGAAATCCTCATAGAACCTTTTGATTAAATATGTGTCAGGGTAACATGTTGTATCCATAGTGGAGTCCTTTGTACCATTCATTATCTTCCACTTGGAATTGCTGCCTTTAATGAACATTTTCTATTCTTAGATCAGCATCACAAAGAAGATCTAAAACCCAGACTTAAAATCACGAGCAGATTTTCACCAAGCTAATATTGTGCAGGACCCCGGCACAACCATGAAATGTTGACAACCTAAAGCAGTGGTTCTTAAACTGAGACGATTCATGCTTCCTTCCTCCTCCACCCCCTCCCCCAAGCTCTAGTCCAACCTAACCATTGCAAACATGTACCCTGACCCAGCCAACCTGCCTGCCTGCTTACTTTGGCATAAAGTGGCCACTGTCCAGGTCTACCACTGCCTCTATCCTTCTCTCTCTTTTCTATTATTTCCCTCATGACAATGTCCCTCCTTCTCTTCCCTCCTCCCCCTCCTGCTTGAAACCTTCCCTCCTCTTTCCTGTTCATCTCCCCCTGCCACCAAAAGCCTTTCCCCCAGCCTCCTTTGCTTTCCTCTCCTTTCCTCCCCCTCCTCAACCTTCCTCGCCCCTTGCTGCCAAAAGCCTTTTCCTCACCTTCCTTGCCACCCAGATCCCTTCCCCCTTTCCTTGCTTGCTTCCAGAACCCTGTTTCTCTCCCACCGCTCAGTGGGTGCTTTGATTGTGTTTTTCCTCAAGGGGATTGGACTGGGTGGCTTTTGGGGTTTCTGCTATTATTATTATTATTATTATTATTATTATTATTATTATTATTACAAAGTCTGGATGGTGATCTGTTGGGGTGCTTTGATTGTGCTCTTCCTGCATGGCACAAGGGGTTTGGACTGGATGGTTCCTGGGGTCTTCCACTGAAATACTGTTATGTTTGTTGTTGTTCATTCGTTCAGTCGTCTCCGACTCTTCGTGACCTCATGCAGCCTACGCCAGAGCTCCCTGTCGGCCGCCCTATGGAGCGCTGCCGGAAGGCAGTCGCATTAGACAGCGCCCTTTTACGCGGGTCTGGAGGTAGGGAGCGGCTGCTTCACCACCTAGTCCCAGCTCCTTCAAGGTCAGTCCATCACTTCAAGGATGCCATCCATTCGTCTTGTCCATCCATCTTGCCCTCTTGCCCTTGGTCGGCCCCTCTTCCTTTTGCCTTCCACTTTCCCCAGCATAATTGTCTTCTCTAGGCTTTCCTGTCTCCTCATGATGTGGCCAAAGTACTTCAACTTTGTCTCTAGTATCTTTCCCTCCCGTGAGCAGTCGGGCTTTATTTCCTGGAGGATGGACTGGTTGGATCTTCTCGCAGTCCAAGGCACTCTCAGCACTTTCCTCCAACACCACAGCTTCAAAAGCATCGATCTTCCTTCGCTCAGCCTTCCCTAAGGTCCAGCTCTCACATCCGTAGGTTACTACAGGGAATACCATGGCTTTGACTAGGAGGATCTTTGTTGCCAGTCTGATGTCTCTACTCTTTACTATTTTATCGAGACTGGACATTGCTCTTCTCAAGAAGTAAGCGTCTTCTGATTTCCTGGCTACAGTCTGCATCTGCAGTAATCTTTGCCCCTAGAAATACAAAGTCTGTCACGGCCTCCACGGTTTCTCCCTCTATTTTCCAGTTGTCAATCATTCTTGTTGCCATAATCTTGGTTTTTTTGACGTTTAGCTGCAACCCGGCCTTTGCGCTTTCTTCTTTCACCTTGATTAGAAGGCTCCTCAGCTCCTCCTCGCTTTCGGCCATCAGAGTGGTGTCATCTGCATATCTGAGGTTGTTAATGTTTCTTCCAGCAATTTTCACCCCAGATTTGCATTCATCCAGCCCCGC